GGGCGGGGGCGAGTGGGGGGCGTGCAGAGAGTGCTCTAGTAGAAGCAGTGAGCTCCGTAGCCGCCAGGTTCGGAAGAGCAGCCAGGATTTCCCCGCAGGTGGAGAGAACCGTGGCCGGGACCTCTGGCACCCTCTGGGGAGAAAGGTGCGGCTCACCCCTAGCAAGGGCTTAGAGGTGGCTCCGCCCGCGGCTCCACCACCCCACACCCCACCCCAAAGGTGCGTGCGCAGGAGCTGCGGTTGCAATCTGTCGATCAGGGAAGGGGTGACTCGGGGAGAATCGGGACAGACTAGATGGCTTGCATACTCCAAGACACACTAGATGCAGTGTAGACAGGATCGTCCTCTGCCTCCCGGGAGGGCAGGGACCGCCTTGCCCTTGCTGTGGATGCGCCCTCCTGCCTGGCGCGAGTCCCTTGACAGAGAAGACAGAGGTTGAACTGGGAAGGTGGGTGAAGTGCCCAGGACCTGGGCTGTGGTAAGCATCCCAAAAGAAGGGCTTGGGAACTCACTAAAGAAGCCTAGGGGTCTGGGGAGGCGACCAGCGGACAAAGCCAAGGCTTGTCCAGGAAGGTGTCTCCTAGGAACTCGCCTAGCTCCTAGGACCTGCAGCTTTCTGTCCCTCTTCGCCCCCGCAGCGTTCTCTGAGCTCCACAGGAGGGCACACCGCGGCGGCGCCTCTGCGCTGTCAGTTTTGGCGCAGCGCAAGGCCTGGGCACTCATCCTCAGCCATCCCGTCTTTCCTGCAGCCAGCGCGACTGTCTCCAGAGCAGGCTGTCCCTTGTCCCCCACGGGGCCCCTCCCCGACATCCTCACAGAGCTTAGCTCTCAGCATTTCTTCTCAGCCTTTCCAAATCTGCTCTCCTCTCTCTCTCTCTCTCTCTCTCTCTCTCTCTCTCTCTCTCTCTCTCTCTCTCTCTCCTGGCAGATTCCTCCCAGCCCGCCATAGGCCCTCTCCCGTTTCTCCTACTTCTTCCTGTCCTCGGTCTGAATTTGACTTCAGTACCCCTAAAACAGGATTTGCACCAAAGCTGCTAAGCTAAATTTCTATCCCCATACTCCCTGGCGTTTGTTTTTTAATTGTATTAACTAAGTATGCTCTTTGCTGTCAGCTGGCGATTCACAGGGAAACAATGTTTTCACTGCCCTCTCCTCAGTTTGACTTCAGCTGCAGGACTCTTTGGTGACATTTTCAAAGGACCCAGAAGTTGGGCCACGTGTAAAATGGTATGCTAGGATCCCCTTGATTGCAAAATTATGGGAGGGTTTATTGGGACTGTGGAGCAAGTTTTCTCCAAACCAAAGAGTTTAGCTAAGCTCCCCCTTCCTTTGAATAAATGGCACCTTTTGGTGTTTGGAATAAGATTTATAGATGCAACACCCGGCCACCTTGGTAGACCACACCAGCCTTAGAGCCAAGACTGACTGCAGGGGAATGTACTCCAGCCCATTCCCCACCTGGAAGAGGGGTGAGACTCCTGACTGTCAGCTTCCTCACAGTGAGATCTCAGAATCAGGGTGGGAGGTGCCCACACCTGCCATCTTGTCCATCTCACAAACACAAGTGTTGGTGTGAGAGCTGATGGCAGCGGACACTTATCTGTGGATTGCAGCATAGCCCCTCAGCTTACTTTTATTAAAAATCAATAACTAACTGAGTACTGGACAACCTGGGGGCTTGTGGAGCAATCACTGGGCCCAGTGGCCCCATTTACTTTCTGCCTCTTGGTTAATATTCCCAACAGCAAAGTGGAGAAACTGACTCAGCCCAAAGCAATGAAAAAAGCATCCCAGGGTAGTTTGTGGAGTGAATGCTAGAACTGACATTTGACTCAAAAAAAAAAAAATCTGCTTCCAGAGCCTGTGGCCTAGCCACTTCCTGTGCCTTCTTAATGGATATTCGATCCACCTTCTGTTATATATTTGTATGTTTAATGTCTCCAAGCACTGCCATGTAAACAACATGACTAAAAGGGCCATGGTTATCTGTGTTCCCCAGCACACAGACAAAAGTTACTTAGGAGCTATGTTAGCTAATTGTTTGGTTAATTGAGATGTTTAACAAGTTCTGAGTCAGGACAGTGCTTGTCCCAAAGGCATGAAGACCTGAGTTCAGTCCCTAGAGCCTACATGAGAAAGCAGAGCACAGTGGATACACTCCCAGTCCCAGTGCTGGAGAAGTGACAGGCAGATCCCTGGGACATGCTGGCCTGACCTAGCTGTGCATCTCCAGACAATGAGAGAGACAGCAGTCCTAAAACCAAGGTGGAGGGGCTGGAGAGACGGCTGAGAGGTAAGAGCCCTTACTGCTCTCACTGAGGTCTCGGGTTTGGTTCTCAGGACCCACGTCAAGTGGCTTACATCACCTACAACTCCACTACTGGAGTATGTGACACTCTCTGGCCACCACAGAAACTGCATACACTTGGTACACATAAATTCACAGACAGACAAACACAGACACATAAAAAGATAAATCTTTTAAAAGTTAAGATCTTGAGGAATGACATTTAAGGTTGTTATTTGTCCTCAACATGCACTGGTACACATGTATATACACACCTGCACCCACAGGAATACACACACACACACACACACACACACACACACACACACACACGGTGGAAGCGGAGAGAAAGACAAAGTTCTTTGAGAAATCATTCTGTCTGGGACCTAAAGAGAAAAGAATAATCAAAACACGAATGATAGTTTCTTCCAGCATGATTTCTGTAAGGCTGAGAGATGTCTACTCTCAGATTTTGAAGGGACCTTCCAACAGGCTTACTAGGATCTAAGAAGTTGTGAGCTCTGTCCAGCAAGTGGTAAAGCCAAAGCTGGAATAAGCTGCCTACCTACTAATATAGGCTTCTGCTATCCCTGACCTTGTCCAACACCTAGGTGTCCCCAAATTTGTCTACCACCTAGGTACTCGCCAACCAGCATCAGGGCATCCTTTACAATGACCCCATAGAAAAGCAGGTTCCCACACACACACCTTACACACACACACACACACACACACACACACACACACACACACACACACATTATTGTAAGGTTTGGGGGCTTTAAGACACTTTGAAACATGATTTTTAAATACCCTAGGCAAACTCTGGATGGGAAAATCCACTTCAGGACCTGCCTCCAGTTTCTGCACAAGCCTTGTCTTCGGGACTTTGGACTCGCTGGCTGCTGCTCCCAGCTTTAATTAATAGAGACTGCCCCCTGTTTGCAACAAGAAAATTGCAGGAGCTGTGCTTCAGAAGGAAGCAGCCTGAGATCCACCCTGCCTGCCTCTTTCCTGGAAGAACCCTACCTAAGCCTCCTCCTCCAATTCCCCAGGAGTGTTCTGACTCGGTTCCCTCCCTCCCTGCAGTGGCTGTGCCTGCTGGAATTGCCCCAGCCTATGTGTCAAGCCTTTGAAAAATATTTGGGAGAATCATCTTTGTTCTCTTCACTCTTCAGAGAGAGGGGAAAATGCCCATTTTCACTGGATACGTCAACTTAGCAAGCATAGCCACTACCTCCTGATGGGGTATGATTGCTTGGCATACATGACTAAAAGGGTATTTCTTTTAAGGCTTCTGTGTGGAGGCAGGGGGTTATAAAGTTGCTCACTGAAACACCTGGCAAGTTCATGGACAAAGAAAAATTATAACGAATTTCTCCCCAAAACCATTTCAGGAACAAATCCACGTGACCACGTCACGAGGATTCATGAAGTCTTCTTTTCTAAAAAAGAGATGAAGATGCCATAATTTTACAGCACAGGCCCTTTTGATATCTAAAAAAGAATATCTTTGGCTCTGGCCTCAATTTTTCGGCTCTAGTACCCACTACAACAAGCATGCAATTGTACCCGCTAACAATTCGAGAGGGGATGGACAGAGGAGGCTGCTGGGACTGCCTTGAAAGCGGTGTTTAAAAGCCATGCAGCAGATTCAATGATCTGCACTGTGGCCCTGCCTGGATGAGTTGTTTGTTAATCTTCCTCATCAGGTGGCTTCTACGGTTTCAAAGAGGTTTCCAAGCAACTGTTAGCCTTGAGGGGAAAGGGGGGAGAGTGACAGAGAGGCAAATTGTAGCAAGCCTTGTGTGCTTCCAGAGCACATATCTGATGGATTTTACTCTCCACGTCTGGAGAGGTAAAGGAGCCTCACAGAAGAAGGTCGAAGTGTGGTTTCCCTGCACTGGTGCTGGTCCCCACCACGGAGATTTCACTTGTCAATAGTGTCTCACTTGTTTCATTACGTGTGAGGGGGGAAAAAAAGCACATCCGCCAAATGAATTCATAGGCAGAAGTGTTAGAGTGTAGTTGATTCTTCTAGACTCTTTAATGTAAAGTCAATTTGAGAAAAATAAACCCACTGTAGTATTTACAACAAAGAAAAGGAGATGGAGTGTCTGATACTGAAAGCTAAAGCTGGGGAGGTGGGCTTTGGTTTCAAACTGCTTTTCCTGGTCTCAGCGCTACTATCATTTGGGAATGGGCACACCTGTGTCATGAGGGCATCCTGTGCACTGTGGGACTTTTGGCTGCATCATTAGCCCCTACCCACTCGATGCCAATAGCACCATGCCCTCACCCCACTGTAACAACTAAACTTTTGATGGACATTGCCAAATGTCTGCTGAAGAACAAAATTAAAACCAATTAAAGACCAAAATCATGATGTTGTGCTTATGTTTAAATTCCAGCTCTTTCTGGCTGGAAGTCTTTTGAAATTTGCAGTGATTTATGTGGGGACCAGTGAGACAAGGTTTCATTATGTAGCTCAGGCTGGCTTTAAACTCCTGCTTCTAAAAAGAAGTTGCTTAATCTCTCCAAAGTTTGATTTTCTCCTCTACCAAATAGGGAGTAAGGATGGATGTAATCTGAGCACTCAGAAGGCTGAAGCAGGGTCCCGAGTTCAAGGCCAGGCAAGAGTATATAGCAAGACTGTGTTTCCAAATAAAGAGGAAACAAAGAATGATCTCTCTATCCAAGGATGTCCAGACCCTGGACGATTTGTGTAATGCCAGGCACTGTGACGGGGGGAGACTCTGAAGTTCTTAAGGAGTGCTCTCTAAAACTAAGGGTGTAAGATGTCAGGCCTACATAGAACCCAAGGAGGTGGAGACTGGCCCTTCCCCTCCAGCACTGTATAGTCTCTAGAGAGGAGGTAAACAGTACAGAGCCTGGCATCCTGAGGCGGGACCTCTGTGGCCAAAGGGACCCCACATTTACTTTGAGTACCTGCAGAATGTCTTTGAAATTTGCAGTGAGGGGGTGAGGAGGGATCCACTGTAATGCAGGCTTCCTCATGATTCAGCCTCCCAAGGGCTACGATTGCATATGTACACCAACATGCCCAGCTTCGGAGTGATTTTTGAGCAAAAGGCCTAGCACTTTCATTTTACTCTGAGTACAATGGTATAGCTGAACCCAGGCAGAAATGGGGTCGAGTTTACAGATACGTAGAAAAGAGCATGTGGAGATGAGGATTAGCAAGAACCAAAACAGGAATAAAAATTGATGTGACCTGGAACCTATTTGTATGCTGCTTTTAAAAAGCTATTAAAAAAACTATTTTAAAAAAATGAATATTTAGCTCTAGTAGACAGGAGAGAAGCTTCTCAGGTTGACATTTAAGCAACCATCAGTTAATGTATGTCATCATTCACAGGAGCACAGCAAGACCAATGGCACTAGACACAAGCAAAAAGCACACTGCTGATATGTGGGAGCTTTCCGCTGGTCCCTAAAATACTGACATAAGTCTAATGAAATGTGCTCGTAAGTACCTGCTTTGGGTTGCTGCACATTGTATTCATGCTACAGTTCACTACCTGTGAAAGTTCCAGCAATTAGTGTTGTGTTTATCAGAGTTAGTATAAAAATGTGAGTGCTTTTTAAATTCTTTTTATGTGTTTTCATGCACATCCATGTGTGTGCAGGTGTGAACATCCATGTGTACGTGAATGAGAAGGCCAAAGGACACTGTTGGGTGTCACTCTTCAAGTACTGTCCATCTTGGGGTTGTTTGTTTTTTCCGTGTGTGTGTGTGTGTGTGTGTGTGTGTGTGTGTGTGTGTGTAGGACTCTCTCTACCTTATTATTTGAGGTCTGGTCTCACGGTTAAGCCCAGAGCTCCCCAATCTGGCTGGCCTGGTTGGCCAGCTTGCTCTAGGGATCCTTTCTCTCTGCACCCTAAAAGTCAGAACTCTGGTCAGGCCACACATTTACGTGGGACCAGGGGAACCAAACTCCACTCCTGACATTTGTGTAGCTAGCACTTTAACCACTGAGCCCTCCTAGGCCCTTGCTTTGTTTTTCAAGACAGAGTCCTACACTGGGATCCAGACCTCATGGATTAGGCTAGTCTAACTTGCCTAGCCTTAACAATATTACAATGGAAATGTTAGTAAAACTGTTCATTGGAGTTGAAAGACCCCAAATTTTGTTCACTGTAGGCAGATCCTGACTACTATGTTAAGGGCCTGACAGTAGTAAATCGAAGCAATTATTTGAATAATTTAAGTTCCTCCAAATGTTCCCTGAAGCTGAAATAGGTTTTGGGATCATTAAAATAATGATGTGTGTCCCCAGGAATAAGCTCAGATGAAATCCCCATAGCTGTGTCATCCACAGGCTCATGGCAGGTCACCAGTAGTTCCCACCATTTAACAAATCGCCCCAAAAGCTTACAGCTTTGCAAACTCACTTCCATTGAATGGACAGTTCTTCAGGCAGGACCTTGGGTTGGTCTTGCCAAGATGCCTTTCCCTGCTGCATTTGCTATGGATAGCCAGGCTGGCAGGTACTGGTTGGCCTGGAGTGCTGTTCAGCTGGGAGAACCTGTCTCCATCCCAGGAGCCTCTTATCTAGGGGAGCTTTGTCCCATGGTGGCTGGGCAGCTTTTGAGAAAGAGCACAAGTCCTGTTGAGACCCAAACTTAGAACAGGCTCTGCCTCACTTCTGCCCCATTCTGTTTGCCAACGCAAGCCAAAAAGCCTGTTCAGAGTCTAAGGGTGCAGAAATAGATAGCTCTTGGTGGAAGAGCTACAAAAGTATACCAAAGGAGGTGTGCATATGTGTGAATGACTATAGCTGTTACTAGGATCAGCCTCTATACGGCAAAATCCCACCAATACCTACGACTGCAAAACATACTCTTCAGACCCCCAAGGCTGCCTGGTCTCTGGGATTCTGTCATTTACAGGAAAATGGACAGAACTGAAAGTTACCATGTTAAACAAAGTAAGCCAGTCTCAGACAGACAACTGTCATGTTTTCTCATATATGTGGAGTCTATCTATGTTTGAAAATTCCAAGCACTAATATACTTGCATGCATCCTAGCAGTAGATAGGGAGGTCTTGGATACCACAGTGTCTTAACTTCTTCCAATCACCAAATTCATTTAATTCTCTGTAGATATTTATCAAAACTTCAGTTTCCTTTACCTCCCCACTCCTCTCAGTCCTCTCCCCTCCCCTCCACTTCCCCCCCCTCGTCTCCTCTTCTCTCTGCTCTCTCCTCCTCCCTTCCTTTCCCTTCTCTTCTTTCCCATCACCATCCATTCTCTGGCCTCTCTTCCCCTTTCCACTGTCTCTACTATGGTTCCAGCTCTCATCAATTCTCTTGATGACAGTTTTGTCTCCCTAGCCTCACTCTAATTATCCCCACCTTTCACATCCCAAAATCCAGTTGCCTTTTACTTACTCAGCAAGCATTTACTGAATGTTTGTTCACTTAGCACCAAGTACTATGCTAGGGATTGGAGATCAGGTAGCAATGAGATACAAACCAGAAGTGTTAGCCAACTTAAGTCACGTGCTATGATAAACACTCTCAGTGGTTTAACACAGCAAATGACTACACCATCCTAAAATCACTTGCTGCAAACCATGTGGAAGAAAGCAAGAGCATGAAAGGTCAAGTGAAGCACTTTGGCTTCAGGCAACATATTCCATTACCTGAACTCAGCCACGATACACAAATCTGAAAACAAAAGGAGAATTGAAAATGTAGTCATCTCATATGCCCTGAGGAAGAAGAGTGTTGACTATATAACCAGTCCTGCGCCAGGAGAGACAACTATACTATAGGAAGTGGATGCTGTGTGTTAGCTTTCTCACCATTGTGAGAGGATGTCTCACAGAGACAAATTAAGGGCCAGGGAGATGAGTCAGTGGGTAGAGTAAAATCCCCATTACACATGAGGACCTGAGCTCGGATTCATAGTACCCATATAAAAGTGGGCATGAAGATATATGCCTTATTCCCAGTGCTGGGGAAGCAGAAGCAGAAAGATCTCTCAGGCTTGCTGGTCAGTTCATCTAGCCCAGTCAGTGAACTTGAATATCTCAAAAACTAAGGTGCAGACCAGTTAAGGAAGGTACTTAATGTCAACTCCAGGTGCATGTGTGCATGTGCACAAACATGTACACAAACAAATTTAAGGAAGACGGATGGATTTTGCTCACTGTTTCAGAGGGTTCCGGTCATGGTTATTTGTCCCCATGCACTTGTGTAAACATCATCGTGGCAGAATCACATGGCAGAGGAGACCCTTCACCTCATGGCAAATAGGAAGCAGAGGATGAAGTGGGGACCAGGTGCTACTTTCAAAGTCTCGTGACCTACTTGAGCTAAGCTCCACCCCAGATGCAGACAGCACATTCAGCATATGTGGGGGACAAACCATATTCAAACCATAGCACTGTACTAGGAGAGACAGGGTGGAAATTGGGTGACCTGGATGCAGAAAGGCAGAGTAGTGGGTGAATACTGGCTCCCTGACAGACACATCTCATTCCCTGGAACCTGAAACATTTTACCCAGCAAAAGGGACTTCACAGACAAAATGCTAAAGCTCCTAAAATAGAAAAAGCAGGCTAACTTACCCACTGGGCTTCAAGGGCCATCACAATGTTCTTGGAGAAGAGTCTGCAGAGGAGAAGGGGAGGCATGATGCACTTTGAAAAGAGAGGACTAGAACTGGGAGATAGCTCAGTTAGCACTGTGTTTGCCATGCTGTTCAACCTCCAGGGCCTATGGGAAAAAGCCTGGTTTTGTGGCACACTCTAGTAATCCCAGCACTGTGGAGGTGGAGACAGGCAGATCTCTGGCCTCACTGGCCATCCAGCTATCCTAATTGGTGAGCTCCAGGCCAAGCAAGAGACTCTGTCTCCAAAAAACACAAAAACAAACAACAACTGGGAAAAAAATGAAGAAGAAAAAAAAAGAGGTGGATGGAGCCTGAGGAAAGTATTCTTCATCTTAAATTATTCAATTTATGGAATGAGAAAATGTTTATGAGAAAAAAATTCAGCCAAATCTATGCCTATTTTATGTACTCTTGGGATGCAAAAAAAAAAATGCTATGTTTGATGGCTCCTAATCTTTCATTGTGAAATTATATCAAGATCATGTGATGAAGCCAATACCTGTCATTCACTAACTGTCCATCAGTGAGTTCATGAAATGCATAAAAATGCTAATTATTTGTCCAGTCAATAACAGTAAGAGAATTATATCCTTCTGGTTCAATGATGGGCAGGTAAAGCAGGAACACTTTCTCTGGGGAACAATAAATAGATGTCCTTACACAAAAGCATCGACAAACCAAAGTACATCACGGGGAATCAGTGAGTTTACTAGGCTCACTTAAGGAGCACGGGTGA